CTCTCTCTCTCTCTCTCTCTCTCTCTCTCTCTCTCTCTCTCTCTCTCCACACACACACACACACACACACACACACTCACCATGTACTCGTAAGACCGACTCTGCCCGTCAGGCCTGGGGCCTGGGGCCTGGGGCCGGCAGAGGCTTTCATGCCATCTAGCCAATTCCATCCTGGGCCGTTAGAATGAGGGATGGGATGTGAGGACTTCGGAATCTCTTCCAGCTCCAGAATTGAGGTCCTATAAATAAAGGTTTATGAAGCACCTACTAGGTGCCAGGCACTGTTCTAGGTGCTCAAGGTACAAAGACAAAAGTGGAACCATCTCTGCCCTCAAAGGGCTTACATTGTCCTCAGAAGTGCCTCACCTGAGGTCCTTTGTAGTGGAATCCCAGACCCTGTTCGGATACTTCAGCACAAAGTTCCGTCCCTTGCTGAGCACCTGTTTCTCCATCTGTAAAGTGAGGAGCTTGGATCAGATGATTCCCTCTCCAAGATTACCCACACACCCACACAGTCAGTGCCAGGGAACTCACTACCTCCTGAAGCAGCTCATTCTACTCTGGGACATCCTGAGTATCAGGAAATGCTTGGGAAGGGTTTTTTTGGTGGTTGCGTCTGCCTCTCTCCTCACTCTCTGACTCTGGTCTCTTCTCCGCAGTGTCTTCCTGTCATGGAGGACCACAGCAGATCCCCTCAGGTGAGTAGCGTGGGGATTTGTAGTCACGAGAAATGTACAATCTTGGAAGGAGCCACATCCCCCCACTGTGCCAAAACTGTCCTATGACACCCACGCGTCTACACCCATACCTTTGAGATACTCAGAAGCTCAGGTCTGTGCACACGTTCACACTGTGCATGCACACACACGCACACACACCGACATAAATACTAGAGTATTTATTATACAGAAGTCTCCTAACTGCACTCATATGTTCACACTGCATGGGGGAGGGAACACAATCCTTTTTTTTTCCCCATGAGACGTCTCTATGCAGTATATTGGAAAAACCCTGGTGTTCTGACTAGAGGGCTGCCCCTCTCCGGGCCTCAGTTTCCCCATCTGTAAAATGTGGGGCCTGGCCCAGAGGATGTCCAACTCTGAAATCCCATGATGTCCTAGTGGGAAGACCTGGCTCTGGCATTTCCCAGCTGTGTGAGATTGGACGTGAGCCTTCCTGTCTCTGGGTCTCTCAGGATCCTCACTTGTAGTATGGGGTGAGAACATTCGTCCCTCCCACTTCCCAGGGCTCTTGGCCCATTCTAAGGAGACATATTTGTCTATTATTTAAAACCTCTTAGGATTTAGCATAAGAAGGGACCTGAGGCCCAGAGAAAGGAAGCAGCCAGCCCAGGTTCCTATAAAGCACAGATTTAGGGGTGGAAGGGACCTTTGAGGGTATCTACGCTAAGCCTCTCACCTCCAGGAGCCAGAACTGGGGGGGCTGCAGAGCCCAGGGATTCTCCAGGTCTCACCTTCTCTCCTCTTCTGCTCTTCCCTAGGGTCCCACAGGGAGTCGACCGGCGCTAGCCCCCTGTGTCAGGTACAGCTGGAGGTCACAATCAATAATACGAAGAGTAGTTTGTGCCTGGTGGACCTGCGTGGGCAGACTCTGACTGAGCTGTCCGGAAGGCTGGGCTTGCAGGCTGGTCCCATCTCTGGCCCCATCTCTGACCCCTCCAGGGCAGTCAAGGAGCTGGCCTGCTCTTTCCGCTATCTCTTCGATCCCCACAAGCGCACAAATGTCTCCTCTCCGAAGCTGCACGTGCTCTGCCAAGGTGAGTCCTCAAGACGCGCCCCGGGGTGCTCTCTGAGCCCCTTCCCTGGGGGGAGAACCATGGCCTCCCAAATGTGAGAGTGGCCACCTCATTCAGCCTGTAGAAAAGAGGGATCCCCCTAGAACCCACCCCCCTGAGCCTCTGTTGGAAGCCTGTGGGAAATGGGGGCACACCAGCAGGGAACCCTGAGACAGAGAGATCCCTGCAGAGCACTCTGGGCCACCACCGACCCAGGATGTTTGGATCCGAGGGAGCAGTGTGAGGTGGGGAGACCTGAACCCAAGTCCTGATTCTGACTTTCAATTTGTTTTTGCATCGTTTTCTGTTGTATCTGACTTTTATTTATTTATTTATTCATTTATTTATTTTTAGTTTTCACCATTCACTTCCGTAAGATTTTGAGTTCTAAATTTTCTGCCCTCCTTCCCCTTCCCCCTCCCTAAGACGGTGTGCAATCTGATATGGGCCACATACAATCGCATGTACGTGTACATGTGCATGGACAATCACATTAAACATATTTCCACATTAGTCACGTTGTAAAGAAGAATTAGACCCAAAGGGGAAAACCCTGAGAAGAATGTGTGGAGGCCCAGTGAAAGGCCAGTTTGGCCAAATGTGTATAGTATAAGAAAGGGGGGAATATACAGTAAATTACAGTTTGTCCAGGAAGTCATGCTAGCCCGGTGGGACCTGTCAAAGGCTTCTGCTTCCCTGATGGGGCCCTCATGGGCCAGGACCAGGGAAGGGCTTCTGGGGATGGGGCACTCTTCCTCACATGAAATCCAGTCTCAGTGCCATGGGAAGCATCCTCCCATAAGGAGCATCTGCAGGGGGGAGGGAGGAGAAAGGACCTATTTGTCCATCATCTTTAGAGTGAAGGGCTGTGAGTGAATGTGGGTACAGCAGAAGAAGCTCAGCCCTTCCTTGGCTCTGCCTGTCAGCACACAATCTCTACAGCCCTCCCTGCTGCCTGAGTCTCTGTGCCTGCCGGGCCTGGGGCCAGGGTCTCGGTTCATCGTGTTGTTCATCCAAGATTTCCTCTCCTTTCAGAAGCGGCTGCCAAAGTGCCTCTGCCCACCCCACGGCCCACTGTGACCTCACCCAAGCCCACTGGTAAGAACACTCCAGTCCTCTGTCAGGCCAGCCAGGTTCCCAGGGCAGAATGAGAATTCCAACCCTGGGACTGGGAGGATTGATTTCTGGTGGGTGGCCCCTCCTTGTCTTCTCCCGGACCATGGGCAGCAATGTTACTACCCCTATTCCAGGTAGCTTCATTTGCCTCTCACTGAAAGCGTAAGTGTGTGTATGTGGGGGGGGGGGGGGTGCAGCAGCTAGGTGGTGCAGTGGATAGAGTCAGGAGGACCTGAGTTCAAATCCAGCATCACACACTTGACACGTACTAGCTGTGTGAGCCTGGGCAAGTCACTTAGCCCCAACTGCCTCGCCAAAAAATGAGAGAGAAAGACAGAGAGACAGAGACAGAGAAAGGGAGAGAGAAAGAAAGAAAGAAAGAAAGAGAAAGAAAGAAAGAGAAAGAAAGAAAAAGAAAGAAAGAAAGAAAAAGAAAGAGAGAGAGAGAGAAAGAAAGAAAGAAAGAAAGAAAGAAAGAAAGAAAGAAAGAAAGAAAGAAAGAAAGAGAAAGAAAGCAAGCATATGTGGGCACTGGATTTGAGAGTTAGCCAGTCTGGGTTGGAGTCTTGGCAATGCCCCTGAATTCAGCTTTGTGACTTTGGGCAAGAGCCTGCAATCCCTGAGCCTCTGTTTCCCCTGTTGTTAGTAGAGCACATGGAACCAGATAATTACAGGGCTGTTGTCAAGCTCACATGGGGAATGCATATACAGCGTCTTAGACTGAAAAGGTCATGTTTGAATTCTGGATGGGACAGAGGGAGCTCTACCTCCGATGGGCAGCTGAAAAGGCAGGAAGAACGAGGCATGAATCCCAAGTCTGCCATCCAACCGTTGTGACCTTTGACGAGTCTCTTACCTTCTCAGGACCTCAGCTCCCTCCTTTGTGAAATGAGCAGTTTGAACTGCTCTGAGGCCTCTAAGGTCTCCCCCCCCCCAAGGTCCCATGACTCATCCATCCTGGGCACCACCCACTTCCACCTTTGCTGTTTTGAGCAAGAACAGAGAGAGGCTTATTTTGGCTGTCCTTCAACATTGGTGGAGGTACTTCTAGAAAGGGGCCACACTCTGGGGACCTTTGAGCTTTTGTTCTTCTAGAGAATCAGGGCATGGGGCACCTTCACCCCCGTGAGGCACAACAGAACCGTCACTAGGAATTGATGAACCTGGGGCAAGAACTATGAGTCCTAATGCAGGAGAAGGAAAAGGAAGCAAAGACCCCAGGGTGTTGCCTAAAGATTTCCCTGTGTGTTATGGGGGAGGGAGGGTGGTAATCTCACCTCAGTTTCCCATCTTCCTATTTTGAGGAACTGTTCTTGCCAAGGAGGAGCTAAGCTCAGTTGTTTCTAGCCCACTGAAAGAACATCACACGTTAGTCCACCCACTCTGACCTAAGCTCCCTGGAGCATTGACCTGCTTGGGTCCCCCTCTCCTCTCCCAATCCTACTCTGCCTCGCACTGACAGGGCAGCCTTAGAATAGTGGAGGGGACCGACAGAGTGGAGATCAGTGGTGATCAGTGGTAGAGGGGAGAAGGTGGATAAACAGAGGCAATACAGAATGACTGGCCTCGGTGAAGGATAGGAGGCTCCAGAAGTTCATCATTAGGTCCTCACAGCCGAAGCCTTGGTTAAATGTTTGAGAATTCCAGCCGGGAACCTGCCACTAAATTCCATCTGCCAGCCTTGGCTACCCCATCTGGGAGATGGACTCCTCGATCTCTCTGCCCTATCTCAGCCTGAGAAAGGATGTTTCTACCCCTTCGTCTGGCCCTTCATCTCTCCTTTCCCCGTGTTTGGTTTCCTCCCTCATCTTCCTCCCAGGCCCTCCGAGGTTCCTGCTGGTGGAGGGGAAGGAGAAACTGCGATGCGCAGGAGTGGTTGAGTTCTACAGGGGCAGTGTCGGGGGGAGCATCTGTTACGAACAGAGGACCTGGACCAAAGCCCTGGGCGACGAGATCTGCCAGGCCCTGAACTGCGGCACCTTCCTGAGCCATCTGCACCCACCGGCAGAGAAGGCAGACCCAGGGAGTCCCGAGGGGCTCAAACCTCTGCCGATCCTCTGGGCGGTCGGGGATGCTCAGGGAGCCCCCGTGGACCAGGTCTTCACCAAGCAGAAGAGCTGTCCAGGAAACCAAACCATTTCCATCGTCTGCTCTGGTGAGTGGCCCCTCCCCGCATCAGCTTCCTCTTCAGAGAAATGAACGCATCGGTCTTGGATGGTCTCTAAATTTCCTTCTGACTTTAAAGTTCTTCCATTCATCCAGTCGTTACTAAGCACCTACTGTATGCAGAGCCCAGGGCAAAAGGACGTATAGGAGCTCACAACCTAGCAAGGAGCTAAGAAACCAAAATACAGAATTATTACGATATCACACGATGCTCAAAAGGCACAAACCAAATGCTATATGAAATCCGAGGAGGGGAAAGCCTTCAAGAGCAGGAAAGACTTGGGGCGGAGGATGACTGAAGTGGGTTAAAAGCTAAACAGGCAGCAGGCAGAGTGGGAGGGAGGACATTCCAAGTGGCGAACAGCATGGATGAAAGGGCAGAGGCAAGAGGGCAAACTGGGGCCCGGGGGCCAAGCGTAGGACAGTTTGGCCGGAGCGGGGCCAATCTCGGCTCGATGTTTCACGACTCCAGACTGCGTGGGCTTGTGGGAGGAGTGGCGCATGGGGAGTCTGAGGACCTGGGTTTAAAGCCAGTTTGATGTTTCGGCTCATAGGGACATAGAGTGAAAGCTGGAAGGAACCTCAGACGACATTAAACCAATCGCTTCATCTTCTGTGCTTAAACTTTCTGTTTTATTGATGTATTTTGTCTTTATGTTATAAACACTTACAGATTCTTCTCACTTCCTGAGAGGTCTCTTATAACAAAGTAAAACAATGACCTCATCTGAAAGTGAATGAAACATTTCACATCTGTGGCACTCCCACCCCTCTATTTTAATTGTTTTTTTTTTTTAATTAACAGATATCTACCTTCTCTCCCACCCCCTATTCCATTAAAAAAGAAAAGAAAAAAACAAATTTCTTGTAACAAATATGCATAATCAAATTCATATATATAATGGGTATCATATTTCTTGCCTTCTGAATAGGTTGGGGAGGGAATAAAGAAATATAGTGATACAGATAGAGGGGATAGAGAGAATTTGGAATTGAAAATAAAAATTTAAATTAAGAAAAACCAAATGTGCATAGTCAAGAGAAACAAATTCCCCTAGTGTCTATACACAAAAATACATATGTCTCATTCTACACCCTAAATCCCTCACCTCTATGTAATGGTGGCATGTTTCATCACTGGTCTTCTGGAATTATGGATGGGTGTTGTATTGATCAGAGTTCTCACAGCTTTCAAAGTTGTTTGCCTTTACAATGCTATTGTCATATAACTATTTCTCTTGGTTCTGTTCATTTCAGTATTCATCAGTTTATAAAGATCCTCAAAATTATTCATTTTTATAATATTGATGTTATAATATAAATTGTCCTGGTTCTTCTCACTTCACTCTGCATCAGTTCATAGAAGTCTTTCCATGTCTCTTTGAAATCATCTATTTTCTGCTTTCTTACAGCACAATTTTACTTCCTCACATTCAGATACCACAATTTATTCAGCCATTACTCAGTTAATAGGCATCCTCTTAGTTTTCAGTATTTTTGCCATTTCTCTCTCTCTCTCTCTCTCTCTCTCTCACACACACACACACACACACACACACACACACACACACACACCTGCTATATTTATATACATTTATCAGAAAGGACTTTTCCCTCTTTCTTTGGCTTCTCTTGGATACATGCCTAACACTGGTATAGCTGGATCATAGGGCAGGCATTGTTCAATAACTTTTTGTGTATAATTCCACATTGTCTTCCGGAATGGTCATACTCATTCATAGGTCCACCAACAATGCACCAATGTGCCTGTTTTGCCACAGCCCCTCTGTCATTTCTTATTTTCCTTTTTTGGTCACCTTTACCACTCAGATGGCCATGAGTTGGAATCTCAGAATTGCTTTAATCTGCATTTCTCTAATTAGTAGTGGAGAATTTTTTCATATGGCTATATATAGCTTAGATATCTTCCTTGTTCATATGAACTGCCTGTTCATATCCATTTATCAATTGGAAAATGGCTCTTTTTCTTATAAATTCATATCAATTCCTCATATATTTTAGAAATTATACCATTATCAGAGAAAATTGCTTCAAATATTTTCCCCCAGTTAATTGTTTCCCTTTTAATCTTAGATTTATTTGCACAAAAACTTTTTAATTTTATAGAATCAAATTTCTCCATTTTATCTTCTATGACTCTCTCTATTCCTTGTTTGGTCCTGGACTTTTCTCTTACTCATAGATCTGAGAGGTAGTTTTTTTCCATGTTTCTCTAATCTGTTGACATGTGACCTTTTATATCTAGATCAAGTTCCCATTTAGGGTTTATCTTGGTAGACAAGATGTGAGCTGTTGGTCCTTTTAATACAAATATAACATGTACAATATTGATGTAGGAAGGGAAACCAAGGCCTGGACAGATGGTGGTCACAGAGGCAGTAAATGTGTGTCCTCAGTCCCACTGACTCCAGAGCCAGTGATCTCTCCTCAGTAGTACACTGCCTCTATTGGTGGAGATGCTGGAGTGGAGGACAAACAGGAAAAGATACTGGGGTGGAGGAGGACTGAAGGGTGGACATGCTAATTGAGAAGGAACCCTGGGGCACTGGCCCTAGAGTCAGGAGGACCTGAGTTCAAAACCAGCCTCAGACAATTATTAGCTGTGTGAGCCTGGGCAAGTCATTTAACCCTGATTGCCAGAGAGAGAGAGAGAATGATAGGGGTAGAAGGTACTTCAGAGGCTGTAGACCTGTGGAAGGAAGCCAATCAGACAGATAGACCTCACCATTCGGGGGGGGGGCCCTTCGTCTTTGTGAAGCTACCATCTCCTTGACATGGGATGAGCAAACTGAGCTGAAGAACTAGGGTGTGGCAGGATGGGCTGGGGGACGGGGACAGGCTGGATGGCACAGGGCTGGGGCTCCAGACCACTCCTTACCAAAAGACAGCCAGCCATGATTCTTCCTTCACTCTCTCTCCTCCCCAACTCCCTTCATTTCAGATTTCCAGCCAAAGGTGAAAAGCAGACTGAAGGGCAGAAGTAGTCCCTGCAAGGGCATCGTAGAGGTGTACTTTGAGGGTCAGTGGAAAGTCTTGTGTGGAAAAAAAAAGAACTGGGAAGAGGTGTGCGAGGAGCAGCACTGTGGGAGTCTCATCTCCGAGGAAGTATTTCAAAAATCACCATCTGACACATCCAGCAAGCTCTACTGCCCTCATGGGAACCTCTCCCATTGCTACACATTTGGTGAAGGAGACCCGTCCTGCAAAGGCACGATGATTGAGTGTAAGCTGCAAACCAACCGTTCCCTGAGGGTGGTGCTTGTCTGGTCTTTCTCTTGGGGAAAGGGGGAGGGGACAGCTTTTCAAGATAGGGCGACTGAGGCAACCAGTCCCCGGAGAAGGGAACAAGGAAGTCAGCATGGATTAAGCGCATCCTATGTGCCAGGCTCCGTGTTAGACTCTAGGGACACAGACAAAAAACAAATGAGACAATCCCGGTTCTCAAAGGGCATTGAGCTAAAGAGATTGGTACCTTAAGGGCAGATCATATAGAAGCTAAGGCAACAAGAGTCCATGAATAGATAACAGATAAGAATTTGACAGATAGAAAGATAAATGTCAAAATGAAAAAAATTATATAATTATATCAATGGATCCAGGAAAAGTCTTCAACAAAATGCAGTAGCAATTTACACTTAAAAAACAGCCAACAACACTAAAAAGCACAAGAATAAAAGGATCTTTCCTTATTGGGATCAAAAGTACCTAAAGGCAAGAACCAGCATCATTTTCAATGAACAAACAATAAAAGTTTTTCCAATAAAATCCGGGGTAAACCAAGGATGTCCGTTATCTGCACCATTATTTGATATAGTGTTGGAAATGCTTGCCGCATCAATAAAACAAAAAAAGATATTAGGGGAATAACTACAGACAAAGAAGAGAATAAATTGTCTATTTGCAGATGTCACAATGGTTGACAATGGTAGAGCACCCCAAAGATTCAATAGAAAATTAATTGAAACAATAGCTTTAGTAAAGTAGCAGAATAAAATAATAAACTTACAGAAGTCACGAGCCTTTCTTTATTTTAATAAAAAGAAAAAATAGGATGAAGATAGGAGGAGAAATTGCATTCAGTATAACTACAAAGTGTGTGAAAATATTTGGGTGTTAACCAGCTGAGACATACTCAGGACTTATATAATACAACTACACACACTCTTTACAAGTATAAATAATTGACAGGTGGGTGGTAGGCAAATAGATTAAAATCTCCAACAAAAGATGGGGAGCAGATACATGAGAAAAGACAAGCAACAGATGACAGATGTACACCTAGCACATAATAAATAACAGGTTATTTGTGCTCAGTGGATGTAGACACATTAGATACCCTTTTCATTGCACCTGTGAGTTATGGGGTGTGAGAAACTCCAGCAGGTTCTCTTGGGAACCCCCAACCAGTTTGAGGGAATGAGGAGTCACTGGATTTGATGACACGTTGTCTTACTGCTGATGTCTCAGGAGCAGAGACACTAGTAATTTGGTACCCAGGACGAATTTCTCCAGGGACAAACAGTGGGAGTGAAAGATGAGAACTCAAGGGGGGGACCTCAGACCTCAGGACACAGGAGCTCCTGAGAGGAGATCCCAGGACACCTTCCACGGCAAGAGAGACATGAGCCCCCCAGATACCAGTTCCTGTGGACGGTGACAGCTGAGGTATCCCCCCCGCCCAAGAGGGAGCTGGGTGGAGAACACTTGAGGTATAGCTTGCGAAGAGGAGGAAACATCTCTATCTGGTAGCTTCCTGTTTTAACAAATTTTTCATGCCAAGTCCTAAACTCAGTTGTTTCTGTCTACCAGAGGAGTGCGAAGGTAGAATATCCTCTAAATTTCAGCTCCCTGGGACAAAGACCCGTTTGCCCTGCCCTAGTTAGAACTCTCCTTAATGAGGTCAAGATTCCACACTAACACCATTGTCTTTTCTCAGGCCAGGACCCAAATGCCGGAGGGCCTGGGGCAGGGACTGTGATGAGCATCATTCTGACCTTCATCCTCATGGCAATCCTTCTAGTGACATGTGGGCCTGTAGCCTACAAGAAACTAGAGAAGAAATGTAAGTAGCGGATTCCCTAATCCCACACAGCTTCCTTCTCCTGTCTCTCTGGAACAATCTCCCTTTTCTCCCATTCTCCTGCCTCTGTCTTTTTTTCACTCTTTGTTCTGGGCTCCGGTCGGTAACAAGTTCTATGTGTGTATGTGGTGTGTGTGTGTGTATGTGTGTGTGTGTGTGTGAGAGAGAGAGAGAGAGAGAAAGAGAGAGAGAGAGAGAGAGAGAGAATGAGAGAAAAACAGGAAGAGAGAAAGAAAAACGAAGAGATGGAGAGAAACACTGAAACTAAGACAGAGACAGACTGAGACTGAAACAGACAAGAAACGGAGACACAAACAGTGAGACAGAGAGAGACAGGCAGACAGACGGAGAGAATAAGAGAAAAACAGGAAGAGAGAAAGAAAAACAGGGAGAGAGAGAATGAGAGAAAAATAGGGAGAGAGAAAGAAAAACAGAGAAAGAGAAATGAAGGAGAGAGACTGAAGCTGAGACAGAGTTACAGAGACTGAGACTGAAACAGAGACAGGAAACAGAGACAGAAACAGTGAGACAGAGAGACAGAGAGACAGAGAGAGACAGACTGAATTTAAGATAGAGAGACTGAGACTGAAACAGGGACAAGAAACAGTGAGACAGAGAGGGACAAATCTTGAGAGAATCATGACCCCTTTTCCAGCTTTCACTTTTCTCACCTGCCCAGTGGATGGGATTGGACTGAATGACCTCTAAGGTCCCTTCTCTTTAAGCCTCAGTTTCCTTCTCTGTAAGATGACGGGAATGGACTTGATCTAGAGTCCCCATCAGGTGCTGGGTTTCTGTGAAAAGCCTCCCGTGCTCAACAGCCCAGCATCCAGCCCTTGAGAAGAGCTCCTGGCCTCGTCAGTCGGTCGATCAGCTGAGAAGCATTTATTTAGCACCTATTATGTGCCGGGCACTGTGCTAGGCAGTAGGGCCCCAAAGAAAGTGGACAAGCCAGTCCCTGCCCTTAAGGGCTCCCGGCCTAATGCCCCCTGCCAATCGCCCGGGACACACCATCTCTAGAGCAGAGGCCATCCCAGAGAGGAGGCACTGGGAGGGGGAGCACAGGCCGGCCTTCTGCGGAAGGTGAGGTTTGAGACTCAAAGGAAGTCAAGGCAGCCAGGAGGCAGAGGCAGGGATGGCACTCTAGGCGTGGGGCACAGCTAGGGAAAAGGTGTGGAGGAGGGAGAGGGCGCCTTGGGCTGGGAGCAGCAGGAAGGCCACCTGGCCTGACCTGTAGATTGCAAAGGCTGTGAAGGGCTTTAGATGCCCAGCAGGGTTTTCTGTTTGGTCCTGGGGGTAGGAAGGGGCTGTTGTCCTTCACTGAGTGCAGGAGGGGACAACAGCAGACACGCACTTGGGGACGATGGCTCTGGAGTGGGGAGAGGTTCAAGGCAGGAGAGGAGGGTGTGCATGGGGGCTTGCACGGGGCTCTGCTGGGAGGCCCAACAATTAAGGGGCTCTTTCTGGGGTGGGCACGTGTGTGGATCTGATATCACACGCTGAGGGACGAGGTGGTGCAGACAGGAGAGCCTGAGGCCACGAGGCAGGGGAGGGGCACCCCAGCCCAGGGAGGGGTGGCAACAGGGGAGGAGTCCCATCCACTGCTGACTCCCAGAGATGCCGCTTATAAATGGGAGTACGGGACCCATGTTAGAAGCAGAAGGGACTAGGAGATCGGACAGTCCAGCCCCTCATTTTACACACGGGGACACTGAGGCACACAGGGGAAGTGACTTGTCCAAGGTCACAGAGTCAGCATCCGAACCCGGCCCCTCAGACTCCAGATCCAGTCTTTTTTTCTTTCTGTCCCAGAGAACAAGGCACAATCACACTGATCTCCCTCTTCTGTGCAGGGAGAATCCCACGGCAAGGCCAGGAGCGGAAGCCAGGCTTCCTGGGCTCCAGCCTGGCCGCCAGCCCCTAACCATTTATTTCTCTCTGTTGCACAGTCCGTCAGAAGAAGCAGCGCCAGTGGATTGGTCCAACGGGAGTGAACCAGAACGGTATGGGGACCCTTCTGGGGCAGTTCCCCCTGCACAGAAAGGACCCAGCAGCCTGGAACGGGATTCCCACAGAGGAGGAGGAGGGAGGGCTGGTCCAAGCAGCTGCCCCATCCCTCCCGTGCCTGCCACCGCTGTATTCGGCGGAGGCTTTCTCACCCTCAGAGAAAGAGGCGTTGGAGGCTTCCTGGCTAGACACATGGTTAAGTGACCTGTAGCTCTTGAGGCCTCAGAGACCAAGGAGTCACCACCACTGCCCCTTATCTTTTCTCTGCTACGGCTTTGGCTCCAGGCCTCCAGCAGACCCCAGCATCAGGCAGGGGAGACTGAGGTCAGCTCTGGATCTAGAAATGGTCCCAGCCGCCCAGCTGGTGAAAGTTGTTAAGGTTCTACTAAGTGCTTGCTAAGATTCTGCCTCCTGACCCGGGGTCCTGGCTTTCCCGACTGCTTTGCTCCCCTCGGCTGAACGGCCTCCATCCAAAGTCGGTGTGGGAATTAGGCTTTTCCTAAATTCTGGAGCAGTACAGACATGAAGGGTGGGGAGTGCCCTGAGGGAGCCCAAGAAGGGCTCCCTAGGAGGGGTAAGTAGAGGCCCTAACTTTTCCTTTCTGTGCTCATCCAGTGTCTTTCCATCGCAACCACACCGTGACTATCCGATCCCAAGTCGAGAACCCTGGAGCCTCAAATGTGGAGAATGAGTACAGCCAACCTCCCAGGCATTCCCGCCTCTCGGCTTATCCAGGTAAGGGAGAGCAGGATTCCGAGTTCCTAGGAATAGCACTAGCCAGGGATGGAATCGTCCCCGCGAGAAATCCCCAAGTGGACCGAATGTCCAGGGGAAGACGTTGTCTTAAGCATGATCACCAGGGCTTGAAACCTCAACAGGTGGTCCTCGTGTCTGCCTTTCAACAACCCTAGTGAGATGAGTGGCTGCAGGTGTTAACGTCCTCAGCTTGCAAATAAGGAAACTGAGGCTCAGAGAGGAAGGGGAAGGAGCCTGTCCAGCGTCACATAGCTAGCAAGGACTGGATGTGGGATTTATTACCAGGTCTCTTGGACTTTCACCAATATAGGGTTCTGTTTTATTTTGTGTATCTGATAGGATTTTGTTTTCCTTTCAGTTTCGGGGAGGGAGGACAGGAGGGCTAGGGATGGGATTACCAATTTTTTTTTAAAGGAATTTTTTTTAATGGAAAGAAGAGAACAGCTCAAAGATCAGGACAGTTTTGAAAATAGCATGTTGAATTTATTATGTACTTTAAAAGAAAAGCAAGGGATTTCTAATGGATTCCCAGCTTTACTTACCAAGAAAAGAATTTAATATCGCCTCAGAAAAAAATAATCTGTATAGAAGAGAGAATCCCAATTGATGTACAGTTCTTTTTTGTTGTTGTTGTTGTACTTTGCGTATGGAAATGCTCATTTACTTGGGGTTTGTTAAAAAATGCTTTTAAGTGAATAAAACCGGGTCTCCTAGGATTCCAGATCTAGAACAGGCCAGGAACTTAGACAGTATCTGTCTAGCGTCAGCCCCTCATTTTACCGAGGAGGAAAGGGAAATGTAAAGAGGTTTGCCCAGGGTGATAGAACTAGTCAGTTTTAGGGGCAGGAATGGAACTCATGTCTTCCCGATTCTAAGCCCAGCCCTTCAGCCACATTCCACCTCATACCCAACTCTAACAAAGAGGGCCCTGGGGGGGAGGGTGGCACATATATCACCTCCTCCCTCCACCCGCCCCGCACCCACGCTGACATCCGCACAGTGCCAGAGAACACTTGGTGGAGCGTTTGTGCCCGACCTGTGGCAGAGCCGTCTGAGCTCTCATCAGCCCGGTCGGACATGCCGTCCTTTGATGTGGTTTTGGTCCTCTTCCAGCCCAAAGGAGAACATCTGGGGTAAGGTGGGGTACAGAGCAGGCACTGCCACTAACATCGAGGAGCCCCCAGGGGGACAGAGGCCCGAGCTGCCCCCAGAGAGACAACCCCGCTCCCACTCGCATGCGGTAATGCGTCCTGAGGCCATTAATTCAAGCATTACCATGACCAGGACAGCAGGGCTCAGCTGCTCCTGTGACCCCGGGCTGGCCCTGAGTGCACCGTGGTGCTCTGGCCTCCGTCTCCTGTGCCCCATTCCAGACACTTAGGAAGGCGCCTCGAGTCTCCCGGACCAGGAGGGGACCACTTAGGAGCTGCAGGAGTGACAGACATACTGGTCCTTCACCTCCCGGTCACATAAACCCCGGGGGCAGGAGCATGGCTGAGCGTCTTTCAGTCACACTCCACCCTGAGGACGTGGCCACCACAGGTCCACACGACAGTGACTCCAAACCCCTTCATTTTACACATAAGGATACTGAGGCGGGGTGGGGGTGGGGTTGTGACTCACTCAGGCAGGGAATAAGTGGCAGACTTGAACTCAGATCACTGGACTCCAAGCCCAGCTCTCTTTCCACTGTACCACAGGCCTCTAGCTCTCAACAGTGCTTCCGAACATTCTGCGACTGCTCTGCGGGGGCTAATTCTTAGACCTCTGATATACCAGGGAGGTAACTCCTGGAAGGCCGGCCCTCCTTGCCTTGGAGTCCCTAACTTCTTCAACATGCAGTTCCAATACATCACCTCTCCATCCTCCTCAAATTAGCAGTGGATATCTAGCTGCCCCCTCCTCTCCTATAATGTAATCTTCTTGGGGAAAAGGATTATTTTTAAAATTTTTGTCTTTTCACCTCCAGCTCCTAAAATAATTCCTTGCATGTAATAGGTGCTTAATGAATGCTTGCTGGGTCAAACTGGAGTTTAAACTGAGTATAAATGTGTATAGGTACAAATTATTCTCAAAAAATGGAGAAAGAAAGCACTCTACTAGACTCTTTTTATGAAGCAAATATAAGCTCTAACACCTAAACCAAGGAAGGATAAAGCAGAGAAGGAAAACTATAGAGCAACAAAAATGTTCACGAAAATCCTGGTAAATAGACTATTTTATGCTGCGGGCGGGGGCGGGGGTGGTGGTGGTGGTGTGCATTGGAGCCAGGATTGAACAGTGGGGACTCTGGATGCCCACACCACCACTTGCTTCTCTCCTCCAGCCCTCATCTTTTCTCATCCCCAGAGCCTCTTTGTACCCACCACTGCCCATTTCTAGATGTTTGGGCAGATATCTGGGAAACAATGTTCAGATCTCTCCCTCCTTCTCTCTTCACCTCACACTCCCAAAATTGTGATGGATTTGGGAGGCCATTTGGAAATAAAAATTGTGTGCTAAGTAAAAAAAACAAAACAAAACCGTATATCACTTTACCCTGTTCTCGTTGAAGAAGACAAAAGGCTTCTCTTTCTAAGAAAAGGTCCTTTAAAATTAACAAAGTATTTCCCTAAGAGTAGCCCTGTGAGGTGGGTAGCGTGCAAATTATTCTCCTCATTTTCGAGATGAGGAAACTGAGACCCCAAGATAGGAAATGTCTTGCCCAGAGTCATTAGGGTCATAAGTGGCAAAGCCAGGAGTTGAACGCAGATCTGAATCCAAGCCCCCTTTCACTAAAACACACCCGTCTTGCCTTAAAGAAAGGATTTTTGTCCACACCTAAGTTCTAAGATTGGCAGCTAGGTGGCGCCACAGTGCACAGAGTGCTGGGCCTGAAGTCAGGAAGATTCACTTTCTCTGGTTCAAATCTGGCCTCAGACACTTACTAGCTGTGTGACCCTGAGCAAGTCACTTAACCCTGCTTGCCTCAGTTTCCTCATCTGTAAAATGAACTGGAGAAGAAAATGGCAAAGTACTCCAGTATCTCTGCCAAGAAAACCCCAAATGGGGTCAGGAAAAGTTGGACATGACTGAAAGCAGCTGTACACAACAACCAGTTGGCCAGAGACGGCCACCTCTCCCAACTGCTCTGGGCTGTGGGCGGACCAAGAGCGTGGCCTGGGGGTCCCCCACAAGCTCTGCCCTCTCTAAGTCCCTGAGAAGCCGTGTCTCTTTTCTGTCTCCAGCTCTGGAAGGAGCACTGAACCGGTCTTCCAACCCGCCAGACAACTCCTCTGACAGCGACTACGACCTGCATGGGGCCCAGAGGCTGTGACAGGTGAGTCCAGCTCCAGTCCGATTTCCCAGGGGGCTGAGGAGCCCAGCTTTGCTCTCCTGCCAGCCCAGGGAGCCTGGCATCATGGCAGACACAGGGTGACAAGTCAACCAGCATTTATTAAGCGCCTGCTGGGGGCCAGGAACCATGCAACCCATTAGGGAGTAGGCTGTGCTCTCCAGGAGCTGCCCATCTGATGAGAGAGGCAATACGGTGCCAGCTGTGTGTGGACCAGAACCACCCAGGATAAACTGGGGGAAGGCATGAGCAGGAAGGAGGCCGGGAAAGGCTTCTCTGAAAAGGTGGGATTTTAGCTGGGACTAAGGCAATGAGGAGCCACAGCTCCCGGAGGGCTAGACGTGGCTCTCTGCCGTGAAATGGCCCCCATAGAGAAAGCGGTTTCACCGATGATGAATCATGCAAACGTGGGAAAGAACTGGGCTGGGGACTCAGAGGCCTTGGATTGCGATCCTGCTTCTGGTACTTACCACTGGGAGACCTCAGGGAAGTCACTTCACCTCCCTGGGCCTCAGTTTCCTCATCTGTAAAATGACAGGATTGGCCTGGACAGCTTCTGAGGGCCCTTCCAACTCTCCTTGATCTATATCCGATAGCTTACGTGTCTACGGAGGGGGCAGATGTTGGAGGTGATAATAATAACGACTGATGAGGCTATGCCACTTTAGGGTTTGCAAAGCCCCTGATATCACCAGCTGGTCTGGGCACCAGCCTGGCTACGTGCAGAGATGGCCACCTGGTGGGTTTCTTTGCTTTGATAAGGTTTTCAGGTTTTCAGAGCTTTTTATGGGCATCTTAGTTGAGTCTCACTACAAACCTGTGGGGTGAAGGTCCATTGTTATCCCCATTTTATAGACGCGGAGGTGCAGTGACTTGCCCAGGGTCACACAGAGCTGGCACTCAAACCTTTTCTCCTTGATCCTTTCTCCAAGTCCAGTGCTTTTTCTACCCCATCTTGACTCTCAAGGGGGAAGGGACTTATTTGCTCAAGGTCACAAATGCCAGTATCGGAGATAGGATTTTAAAGCAGGTCTCGTTGGGTCAAACATTCTTGCCACAACGCCACGCTGTCTTCCAAGAAGGAAGCTGCTGAGAACAAAGAGCTATGGGAGAGAATCATTACCGCCATCGCCATCCTACGCTAGAGGCCTAGCAGGCCCTGGGAACCCCTGGCTGTGAATGGGCCCCTGAAGTGCCTCATGCTAGGTTCTTTCCACTTTGAAACGCCCCCGCCTCTGAGGGCCGTTGCAGCAAGGGTTTAACAGATGGTGACCAAGGAACGCTGGACCTGAGCAGGCAACTACTGCCCTCAGGACCCTGAAGCGTGGCCCCTGGGATGGCTTCATAAGAACTCTCTAGGCCCAGGCATCTACGGGGCAGTAGTAGAAGCAGCCCCGACCCCAGAGCCAGGGGGACAGGGGCTCACAGCCTGCCTCATCTGTGCACATGACTCCAGGCCAGGCATTTCCCCCCTCCTGGCCTCAGTCTCCTAATCTGAGCAATGTTCCAATTTCTACCCAATTGTTTTGAAAAGTCTGCTTTTTTCATGACTCTATTTCTGGAAATTGTATCCCAGCTATCCTCTTCTGCTCCCATCTCCCCTCTCCTCCATAGCAGGGGCAGAGACATGTGGACCAGATTGTAGGCTCACAAGGCTGGGAACCAAAGGGACCTTGAAGGTCCAGCTGTCCCATTTTACAGATGAGGAAACAGAGGCTCAGAAGGAGAGGTAACTTGGCCATTGCCACAGGCAGCAGAGGGCAGATCAGGTTCCAGATACAGCATTTCTTCTATACTGAATGACTAGATCCAAAGGAGCGCTGATCAGCCACAGCAGGGGACAGAGGGTGTCCCCAAGGTCTCAGGGCATCTTAGGGACTTAAAAGTGCCCTGAGGCTCTGCTTGACTGTAAATGCATCCGAGGGAGGCCTTCAGTGCAAATCCCAGCTCTCCCAGTGACTACCTGTGGGACCCACAGAATCTGAGAGAGAGAGGGCATCTCAGCGGCCTCCTAGACCCTCTCGTCCACCTGACAAGGGACAGCCAGGCTCGGTGACTGCCCATAGAGAATCACGCACCGGGCCGTTTCGCTGTCAGTCAGTTCTCAATGTTAGGAAGCTGATCTCGCCTCTTTGCCACTCAGGATGACAGATTCAGAACTGGAAGGGACCTGAGAGCCATCGGCCCCAACGCTCTCAGATAGGACAGTGCCCGTGGCACTGCTGGTCAGGGGCTGAGCTGCATTTGAACTCAGGTCTTCCTGACTCCAAATCCAGCTCCTGTCCACTGTGCCACCTAGTGGCGCTCACTCCCCGCTCCTCGTTTGGCCCTCTAGAGCGGGACAGAACAAGCGCAGGGCCCCTTCCACATCGCATCCCAGCCCCTAGGTCTCCTCTTCTCCACTCACCCTCCCTCGATACTCCAACAAGTCTCCTGTGGCGTGGGCTTATGGCCCTTTACCATCCTGACCCCCGAGCTCGTACATCCTCCAGCTTATGAAGGTACCTCCTACAACGTGGCTCCCGGAGCTAAATGGAACCCTCCAGACCCGGTCCGAGCAGGGTGGAGTATGAGGGTCTCTCACCTCCTCATCCCCAGAAGTGATGCCAAGCGACTCCCATGGGGCTTGCACTCCGCTAAAGACAGGCCCAGACAGTGTTTCAGACAAACCATTACCTGATGCCTCCTCCAACTCGGACTTGGCGTGAAACTTCATTTGTTTCATCCCTGTGTCCGAATCCCTTGTTTTACAGAAGAGGAAACTGAGAGCCAGCGAGCTGACGTGACCAGTCTAGTGTCACACAGGTAGGGAGTAGCACAACCAGGATTCAGACTTGGGTCCTCCGTCTCCAAAGTCACTGCACCAAGATGGCGGCACCCCTTCCCCCAACCAACGATCTATGCAAATAGAGGAAATTTGTGCCTCAGAGAAGGTTTGGTCTAGATGCCCCCAGAGGACCCTTCCAGCCCTGAGGTTACGGGGTCCTGTGGGGGCTGAAGGAGATAGCTTCAGAAGGCCCCGAGGGGGTACTCAGCCGAGGGATTGCCCCCAACCTGAGGCTCCATCATTCCCCTTGGGCTGGTTGTCATTGACTCTATCTTGCTTTCAGCTCACACCTGGACTCTCCAGTTGAAGGAAATGATGCAGGTTTTCCCGTTTCATGCCTTGTTTTCTTCTTGCCCAGGCTGAACTGTGAATAAGCCGAGTGTCTCCCGGCAGGAGACGCATCTTCCTGAGAACCTTCTGCACTCATCACCTTGACATGATTTCCTGATTTTACTTCCAACTGTGAAGGGGCAGAAGCAAGGTCGCCACTACCATGTCTCATTGCCCACGCCCACCCGCAGGAGCAGCTCCACCCCTACCCGCTCCCCGCCCCCAAACCCAATCCGGGGAAACCCTCCCCTCCCCACAACTCCAGCAGCCCTTCCCAACCTTTTCATTTACGTGAAACGCAGGACCCTGTCTAGAGAATGCAGGAAAAGGCCAAGCCCAAGGTACACCTGGACCCCTCCAGACACGCAGGGCCAGGGGCTCCCAGAGCCACACCCCATACCACAGGGCCCACAGCTGTCTCCTGACCCACCTGCGCCCCGAGGCCAGTGTCACTGAAAAGGGGCTGCCTTCCCTGCTCACCGCCCCAACTCTGATGAAGAACAGGGAAGAATTCACACTGGTATCTCTGGATGAGAATGATTTTTTAATGTTTTGTGTAAATAATGCTTTCTATACAACCTGAGAAGTCTGAACATTCCCTGAGATTTGATTTCAGAGATCCCGAGACAAGAAGGGATGCAGATGTGAGCACAGAGAAAACCAGGCATGTTTGCCGTGTGTATGTGTGTACTCACATATATGTGCACATGTGGGTGTGTGTATGTATCTGTGTCTGAGAGACAGAGACAGCGACAGTGAGACACAGTGAGACAGAGAGGGCCAGAAACTAGCCCCAGACATTCACCCCAGAGGTCATCCGGTCCTCCCCCAGGCCAATGAGCTAACTGCTCCTTCCTCTCATGAGATCTCAGGGCAGTGGGTGACAACTGTCAGCCTCACACAGGATGAAAGCCCGCACAGGGCCAGGCATGTGACAGATGCTCAGCCGAGGTAAGCTGTCATCTTGCTTCCAACAATGGTTGCAAAGCACCGGCCCTGGTTTGGGAACCGAACCTACCGGCACAAAATGGTGGGCCTTGCTCATGGGTCACTAGAGCGTAGGTCAGCAGCCTAAAGTTGTAATGCCTCATCTGGCCAGACTGGTCTGCTCTTTAGGCCTTCATATCCGTACCCTCACTCTCACGGCCCTGGAGCTTGTCTGATGGCAGAAGGCTGGCCTCCTCAAGCCCCTCCCTGGGTCCATTTTTGCCCAAGTGCGTATGGACATTCTTGGATCTTTCCCATGCAAAGAAAACTCATCTAGTCCATTAGCTGGCATCTCTAGCCCTCACATTCTCAGTAAAGTGCCAACCAAACCTTAATTATTATTAAAAGTCTAAATTATCAGAAAAGTAGAGCCTTGGGCACTGAGCTCTCCCACCGCTGGATTATTTTTCCAGCCTCCGGAACAGTGAAAGGGGCATAGCTTTTATGAAATTCCAAGTGACGTCACCACTACTCAACAAGCGTCTCATTAATAAAACTCACAGTAAAAGCAAGCCACAGAAAGGAGCTCCCTGGAGTCGATGCTCAGGAAGCAGGACGACGCCACACACACAAAAGGGCATGATTAAGATCAAAGCAGAACGGGATGCCTGAGCTCAGAAGCACCTTAGGGCCCCTTTCTCCCAACCTCCTTATCCTACGGGCGGCAAAAACAAGGCTTGGAGACGTTGACTTAAGAGACAGACCGAGTATCTTGAGATAGTTCTTGGTCAGTCACACTTTGCCCCTCCTGGAAGGAGACGGTAAATCCCCATTACCCGAGGCTTATGTGACTGCACCGCTGAAAATGGAGCTGAGGTGGCTTCTGCATTGGCCGGAGTCCCTCATCCCAGACGGCCCAGTTTCTCTTCACTAAGTTAGATATCTCTTTGATTTTCCAGGGCTGGCTGACTATGCTATGCCTCGCTCAGCTCTGTAGCAAGAGCCCTGGCATGGTAGGGTGTGCCCAAGATGTCTCCAGGAGCGAGTGGGCATCAGAGAGGTGCACGTGAGTGACGGGGTAGGGATCGTGCGAATGTATATGATTTGTGAGGGCATAAGGAAGGGAAACAGGAGTGAGCTGACACGTAAAGTGAGATGCTCTAACAAGTGTCCAAATAAAATCCTTTCCTTAGAAGTTAGTATGTAAATATTTTATAAAAACGGCCCACTCTGGTACCAACACAAAGACCAACTAATTCTGCTTCCCGAGGGGACCTCCAAAGCAGTCCTCTGTTCCATCCCCCGGGGGTCTGGCCAGTTTTATGTCTGCCCACCCCGAGGAGCCTGCAAATGTCCCATAGAAGCTTATTATGACGAGAAACGTGGCCAAGTCTGCCGGCCTTTAGCTGCACTTCTCATCATAATGAGCCTGGAAGACGGTGCTTTTGCAGGGAGGCATCTGGAAATCTGTTTAGCCTCTCCAACTTTCCTCCGGTCTCAATCAAGGGGTCAGCTTCCGCCCTCACTTACCACTGGCGTGGGGCTCTTTGAATGCTCCCGCTACTAACCGGTTATTGAGAAATAGCACGCTCATCTCTTCGTTGTCTCTCAGAGTATCACTGATCGCCCACGTGTCGCTGGGCCGGTGACATCCTGGGATCAGCAAGGGCCTTGGGAGTCAACGAAGAGTTCAAACGCAGCTTCTAATTTACTGCAAGACCGGGGCCTTCTCTCTGAACCTCTGTTTCCTTATCTACGAGGTGGGGGAGGGTGACTCGATGACATTTGGGGTCCCTTAGAGTTCTGGAGTCTTTCACCTTAGCAGCGGCAGTTAGAGTTTCATTAGATCCTCACAAAAACCCCAAGAGGGAGGTGCTGTTGCTAGCCCCACCTACAGATCAGAAGACTGAGGTTCAGAAAAGGGAAGCAATTTGCCAAGGCTCACACAGCTTGTCAGTATAAGGGGGATTTCAAACCTTCGCCTCTTCTGACCTCAAAAAGCTGCCCTTGCCCTGACTCCCACGAAGGAGAACAGCTCTTAGAAAACTTTGTGCTCACCCCCCAGAGGGAGAGGCCCGAGAACAACGGGGGAAGCCAGTGAGCTCAGCAGGGAATAGCTCCGCTCCTCAGCCCCACTGGTCAGAATCTCACACATACCCCCCCCCACACACACACACCTAACACGCCGACAGCTTTGACCCCCAGGTTTGAATGCCGACTGGCGTTTCCTGGGCACAGGGGCGGCATAGGCAGGCCACATCCTTGTGCCACCCCGGCTGGTGGCAGGGCCAGAATTCTCCACGGCCAGCAGCTCCACGGAGGAGGATGGACGGTACTCCCAGGGGAGCTGCTTGTGGCTTTGTTGGGGGCTCAATCCTTACAGAATGGTGAGCCGAACCCAGGCAGGGCTGGGAGAGCTTGCTAGCAAAAGAGTACGACCCAGCCTGGCAGAGGTTAGAAGGGAGATGCTCACGGCGGAGAAAGGAAGCCAATGTCTGGGCGATTGAGGAAAGTGAGTGCTGCATCAACGAGGCCCCAGGGAACTGACCAAAGATGTGAGGGCAGGAGATGGATGGACAAAGACAGGGCTATATTGATAGAGATGAAAGGAAGTGTTTCCACCGAGCAAAGCTACGCAGGATCGATCGCGCCTTCTAAGCAGAAGGGGCTTCACTCTACAAACCCACCACAGCCAGGACACTGCATGGACTGCATCTGGTTTTATTATAGTGATTCATCATAGATGACGGACATCCTAAGGGCTAATTCAGAAGCATTCAACACAACAGAGCCCATTAGTAATTTCTCTTTATAAATAATTTATGGGAAAGCAAGCAGAATTTGGCAATATATTGAGAAAACTTAATCTGGCATTCCCAACCCTTCATTTGGGGCACCAGAAATCAAACTGGACAGACAGAGCTCCCTCATCATTCACGTTCTGTCAAACGTTTAGCAGTTCAGACTCGGACAGTCCAAGGTACGTTTAGCTTCCAGATCCACAGCAGCTCCAGGGGCTGACTGAATGACTAAACCAATTTCAGAAAGAACCAAATTAATGTTCCACCCACCCAACCCTTCTGGGTCTGTTCTTGCCCCCTTTATTACTTAACAGGTATCAGGCACCCACAATCTAACGGATGCTGCCAATACCACAAACTAGGGAGAGCCCTGTCCTTGAGCTTATGTCCTAAGGACAACTGGAAGATGCAGGGAGAGATAAACAAGACATATTAGTGTTGGAAAGCACCATTTGGGGGTGACTTTCAGGACTTCTCTCCAAGAGAATAGCTTTGCTAAGAGAAACAGGGAGAAGGAAAGAGCACGAAGGGGAAAGAGGCTGCCAAAATCAAAGGCACTGAAGGACAGAGTCGGGGCTCAGAAGGAACTTGCTGGCCACAGAGGTGCCCTGGGAGGAAGGAGGGTGGCTGCCCGCTCCCAGGACGTCCTCCGTGCGAGCCCCTGACTCTGCTGCAGCTGCTCGTCTCCCACCCCAGCCTCCGCCAGAGGGCCAAGCACCCGCCCCACCTTCTCCCTAGTTCTAGGTTTTGAGGGGTGTGGGCCCCACTGCCCAGACACTCGGCCTTCTGCACAGCCTCTGGCCATCCAGTGATGCAAGCTTATCTGGCTCTGGCCTATTAGTGTTTTAGCATATGTTATCTAAGTAAAAGATTTGGGAAAATATTACTAAGTGCCCTGCATACAACCGAAGCCCGTGGGGAAGCCCAGGACATGCTCTCTTAGAGAAGAGATGGCCGGCTCTGATGGATAGCTCATCTGAAGGCTGCAACTTCTCGTCTCTTGGCCAGTGTAAACATGCCAGTCCCCACGGAGGGTGTTAACAGAGAAGCACAGCTGGGGGTGGGGGAGCAGAGGACACTCTTTGTGTTGAATTTCAGTGTCTGTGTGTACATAAACAGCTTCCACATCTGCCCCCCTTATCTGGCTAGCACTTGACTGGCTGATAGACCACAAGGCCATCGGTGCAGTGAGCCTTTGTGCCGTGGGTCACTGCTGACTACAGACCTTGACGTGGAAGCCGGGCCGTGGTTCTGAAAACATCCTGCATGCCATCAGAGCCACACCATCCCTGGTTTATCGCACACCCGCATGGGTCAAGCCTCCTTCCCAAGTCCACGGGCAGGGCCCACAGCTCTTTGAACCAAATTTTAGGAGCAGCATGGCAGGACCAACGTCTGTGGCACAGGTGGAAGTGAGGGGAGGCAACGTGTGAGGATCGTGTCTAATACCCAGGCCAGACGGGTCCCTGGGGTGTGGAAAACCCATAGGGAAGAGCAGGGCCTGTGGGGTAGGGGGGTTGATGAGGACCTGAGGGTCTGGGCTGCCTTGGAAAATTAGGCATCTGGGCCTGGGTGGGGTAGGGGGGTGCCTGAGTTGGGTAGGGAGGACTTCCTCCTGCCGGGAAATAAGACTGCTGAGGGTAGCCTGGATTAGGAGCTGGGCCTCGGGCCATGGGATACACTGGTCCAGAAGATGAGCCCCCAGACTGAGACAGAGGATATCCTGGTCCAGAAGATGAGTGTGGGTACCAGGGGCGCCCTGTGGTCGCCCCTCCAGGCTGGGCTGCTGGATAGCCAGGGCCAGAAGGCACACGGTAAGGGAAAGAGGGTTGGGAGGTGACAGGGAAAGGGGACGGCTGTAGAGCTCCTTGGGCTGTGGGGCCAACGGGTAAGTTAGGAGACGGGCTGTAGGGGAGTGGATAAGCAGGGCCTGTTGAAGGGGGGGCAGGCGGAGCAGGGATGGCAGGCGGGGCCTCTGCCACAGCAGTGGTCTTTTCAACAGCCGGCTGAGGTGAGAGTTTGGGCCTGGCTGGCTCTTTGGAAGCCCTGGATTTCCGCACCAACTCCTGCAGCTTTTCCACTCGAACTCGGCGCAAATGGGACAACATCCTCATGGAGGCAAAGCTCTCAAGGAATGTATCCAAGGGCACCTCCCCCTCCAGGAACTTCTCAGCCATGGCCTGGAAGGCAAACAGTCGAGGTCACCATGGCAGACAAGTCCAAGTCTAGAGGTTGCCCCCGGCGATGGACTCCCCTCCCATCCCAAACCTAGCACGTCTCCAAGCCAGAGCGGAGGGACCTTCCTCCGCAGGTGGTGACGTCCAAGGAGGAAGGAGGTGACCAAGGGTTCAAGGCTGTCCCGAGGCCAGGTGGGCACACGTCGAGGGCAGCAGGGGCGGTGGCCAACTCCTCCCTGCCAGGAAGACAGCCTCCCTTACCTCCGACTCCTCTTCGATTTTCACGCCCTCGACCTGCAGAAGGTCCAGTAAGGTTCCTGGCTGCAACATTGCAGAGAATTTCTCTGGAAAAAGAGGAGAAACAATCCTATCGATAACATCTTTGAAGCCTTTATGAAGAAACTACAATGTACAAAGCATCGGGCTAAGGGATTCAAACAGAAGAGAAGCCTGCCCCGGCCGGGGGGCTTACATCCCCACGGAGGAAACAACCCCCATGGAACTGCAGATTTCCATCCAGCACAGCAGGCACTGGTAAAGTATCGCCGGTGGGGCGCCTTCTCTCCTGCACCCGCCTCAGCACCCTAATCTCCCCCATTAGAATGGCAGCTCCTCCAGGGCAGGGACTCTTTCTCTTTGCTTATCTCTAAGCTCCAGCACCGAGCCTGGTGCCTGGGACACAGCAGGCACTTAATAAATGCCCACTGCCTGCCTGCCCGCCCGCCTCAGAATGCTTCACAACATCTGTTATTGTCATTCTTATTCTACAGAGGAAGAAATGAGGCCCAGAGAGGTCACCACAGCTGGACAGTCTCAGAGAAAGGACTGCAATCTATGTCTTCCTGACTCCGCCACACCAGGGGCAAACACACCAGCCGAGAGATGCCAAGCGCCTGACAGAGCCGACCGTCGCTCCCGTCTCCCTGCCAACTGTGGGGCCCTGAGTATCCGGGGAAGAGCAGGGGGTGACCCAGGCCACTAGTCCTGCCCCCACCATAGAGTGAATAACCCCCCTGGGGAGAAGGGACTCCCCCCAACCCATACCACTACTACCACCAACCACAACCAAAGCCAGCAGCGCCCCCTGACCTCCGCCCTGCTTCCAACCTGGTCCCCACAACCGTCATCCCGCCAAGCAAACCCTACGGAAAAGGGGCCCGCCACCCCTGCCATCCCCAAATGCTAACCAGCTGCCACCAAGGGGACAGGCACTCCAGTCAGGCTAAAGCATCTTCATCACAATAACAGCTAACATTTATATGATGTGCCAAACACTGTGCTACATACTTTACAAAGATCACCTCGTTTCATTCTCACAACAACCCTGGCAGATAGGTGCGGTCACTATCCCCATTTTACAGATGAGGAAACTGAGGCAGACAGACATTAAAGTGGCTTGCCCAGGGTCACACAGCTAATAAGTCTCTGATGCCAGATTTGAACTCAAGTCTTCCTGACTCCAAGCAAGGTGAGTCAAACCACCACCACCTTCCCTCGGACCATGGGGGAGACAGCCCAGGACCCAGATTCCACCATCTCTGGGAAGAAAGTGACCCCCAGGCCCCAAGTCCTGCTTCCAGCCCAGGCCTCAGAGATATAAAGGCCCAAGGCAGACGGCAATGCATTTTCTTATGTCATTTCCACCAAAATTCGTCTGCCTGGGGCCTCCCCCATTAGAACACAAGCTCCTTGGATGCAGGGCTCGCCCGGCTTTTCTCCTTGAGCTCCCCAGTGCTTTGTACATAGTAAGTGTTCAGTAAATGCTCTGTCATCCATTCATGGATGTCTCACCAGAACCCATGGTCGTGATGAGGACAATCGCTCCCTCTACAGTCCTAAGCTGCACACACACACATGTACACACGCATACACATGCACATGCACACGCACATACGGGCAGCTCAGCCTCCATGAAGCCATAAGAGCCCCTCAGGCGAGGCCAGTCAGACCTCCTGGCACCTTCACCATCTCTCTCTCCTCAGACCCTCCCTGATGGAGACAGCCCATCCTAACCCACAGCCTCCCAAACCAGCAGAGCTGCTGCCGGCCCATGCCCCCTGCCCTCACTGAGGAGAAAGATGACCTACCTTCCTCATCCCCCCTCCCCCACCGCCCCACACAATTGTGAACCAACTGTCACCAACGGGCAGTTAGGCAGGAGGGCCCCAGGGGGCCCCCCAGGTCCTGCTTCCAGCCCGGCCCTCATGGCCATCAATCATCATCCATCATCTGGAGGGCCCCTCAGCCGGCCAGCCCCCAACAACTGCCAACCAACTGCCACTCACTGAGCTACAGCGGGGAGAGTGATGGGGAGAGCCACAAGGCGGGTCAGATCCCCCCACCTTGACCTCCACCACCCCTCAAAGCCTGGAGGACGGATCAGGACCCTGAGCCCAAGAGTCTTTAGGATGGTCAGGCTTGCAGGGTCCAGGCAGTCATCCTGGGGAGGTGCTCATCACAACCTCAGAAGCTGACAGAATTTGGTCAGTGGCAACGACATTACAGAGGCCTGACCACCTGCTTGGCCGCTGCCCCTAATGACCCTGGGACCTTTCTGCCTGACCTGCAGCTAAAACCTTCCCCACATGGGTCATCTCTGCCCTTATAATGGGAGCTCCTTGAGGGCAGGCCCCTTCTGATGTTACTATGTGTATTCCCAGGGCCTGGCACAGAGCTGTGCACACAGAAAGCACTTAATAAATGCTCCATGAATTCCCTCCCTTATCTAAGGGTTAACACTGGCTATTACTACCATGAGGACCCACAGCCTTCTGGAGGACAACCAGGGCCTGGGGGCTGCATCCTTCTCCACATCTCCAGCCCCAGGCCATACACAGGGCGCCATCTCTGGGGCTCCCTGGCCGCTCACCCAGCTTGGCCTTCTGTTCCTGGCACTTCTCCACCAGCTTCTGGAGCTCCTGATACTTGTCCAGGAGGTTGGAGCGGCTGATCTCCAGGGGTGCCTGGAACACGAGGTTTTGCTCGGCCAAGCTCCGGTTGGTGGCGAGCGCCATCTCCCGCTCCAGCTGCAGGTCCTGAACCTAGGAAGAAAGGGACCCTAGTCACAGGGGGCTCCTATCTCCCAAGCACTTGATGGTGTGTGCAGGCAAGGAGGTGGGTTAAGCCCAGCATTGACACAGATGAGGAAACCGAGGCGGTCAGGGTGAAATGACTTGCCCAGGGTCACACATTTCCTAAGCGTTGGAGCAAGGATTTGAACCCAGTTCTCCTGGCGCTAAACCCAGCACTACTGTTGTCCAGGCCAGGGCTTCTTAAAGCTGGCATTGTGTGGCCTGGGAGCACACACAGTGCACAGTGCATGAGCCTTGTGTTCCCAACCAAGCCTGCAGTGAAGTTGCGGACACAACATAGACAGGTGCTGCCAGAAACACCTCAGATCCATCACACGGTTGATATTGACTTAGTTTTTGGAGTCTTTTCCTGTTGCCAAGTTTTTCATGACCCCACAGGAGTCTCGACCCAGTTGAAGAAGCACTGCTCATCATGGAGGAAAGAGGCCGGGCATCCCTTGGCTCCGCCCCCGGGCCTGTCCAGCACGGCCTCCCTCCTGGGTGCGCTGTCCAAGGTCCTGGGCTCAGGGGCGTGGACGTGACCTCAAGGGTGAAAAGGGCTTCCTTCTTTAGTAACCTGTTCTGGATCTCTGGGCAGTGGGCTGAGCTGGACCTCTGGAGAATCTACTTACACTTTCACCCTGAGGACCCCCAAGTGGGAGAGGAGCGTATTACCACAGCCCTGGGGAACGGACACATGGCCGCTCCTGCTTGATTATGTCTGGGAACAGGAAAACCCCAAGGCAGCTGCTCCCTTGGTTCAGCAAGCCCTAAACACGCCCCCCCCCCCCCCCCCCCCCCCCCCCCCCGCATTGGGCCTAGGTCTCTGGTTCCCTCCCCCCAGGCAGCTCCAGCAGTGCTCACAGGACAGGTGAAAAATGCCTTTTTTTTCCCCCTTAAGCATCAGCTTTGAGAAAACCTCCTTAGAGAGAGGAATCCACTGGAAAAGAAATACCGGCAGCCCTAGATTTATAATCCCCTGGGTCTGCATGAGTGGCTCCACCCTGCCTACCGCCCAGGCCTTCCCCACCCACAGCTGAAGCCCCCAGCCTTGGAGCTCTGAGGGCCACAGGGCTCTCCAAGGAGAGAAGGCAAAATGCAAAGGACATTGAGTCAGAGGAGCCACTATCTCTGTGACCTTGACGGAGTCACTTAACCCATATGGCCCCTCATCTGCCAACGGGAGGGATGGCCTCGTGGTTTCTCTGGCACAGTTCTCCCACGAGTGTCCACAAGCCCAGCAGCGTGGCAGGCGTCCTGCGGCCTCTCTGCTACCTGGGAGAAGGCCTTCGGAGCTGCCATGGCCACACTGCGACAAGACCCTGAGAAGTCCTTCCAGCTTGGAAGAGTCTCCCAGCTCTGATGTGAGCCTCGAGGCCTGAGGTCACTGCCACTCTGGGATGCTACTGGATGAGAGAATCCCGGGTGGTTCAGACCCGCCCCCAGCCCCAGACCGCATGGGGCCTCCCACCCTACCCCACCCCCATCCTCGCTGCCCCAAAACAATGGGCTCCCATGGGTAAGAGGTGCCCTCCAGAGACCCTTGCCTGCTTCGCTTGAGGGGCCACCCATCCATTAATGCCGCCTGTGACATTAGTTTTTCCAGCAGCCACAACGTGTTGCCGACTCCTATGGAGTTTATGTATAGACAGCTTAAGCTGCTGAGGATTTTTCACCTAGGATCATGATTAAGAGCTGGGAAGGACCTTCCAACAGCATCCACGCCCACCCTGGGGCCCACACAGGACCCCAGAGTCCAAGCTCCAGCGGCCCCTGTGGGGCAGCCGCATCTCCAGCCAAGATTCCCGCGATCGTTGCTTTTTAAACAACGCGCCAAACTCCCCGCGGCTCCTTGCCGATTTCATCTTGTCACTCAGTGACAGTGGACTCTCCCCGGCCTGCTTCATGTCCGCCACAAGGCCACGCACACAAGCGCAGCGTCTGACTCCCTTCCTCCCCTCGTCCCCGCTCTCCAAATCATCCTCCGTGCAATGCAACAAAGCCAGGTTACTCAAGAATCTCCAATAGCTCCTTACTGACTCCAGGCCACAAAACAAACCCCTTGGCTTCCCACTCTGGCTCCTAGAGATGAACACAAGCCCCCATCCTCTTCCTCATTTCACTTCTCATTCTTGGGATCTTCCAGGGACACAGTGGCCAGGACTGTGACCCAAGTCCCAACTGGGGATGCGCCAGGGTCTCACAGAGGAGAACATATCCACCGCCTGCTCTCTTTCCAAACCTCCCTCTGGATGCCCAATGTTTTCTTGGTCATTGTTGGTCCTAGGAGTAAGCAGGGTCATCAGCAATGACTCCAAGTTCCTCTTTCTTGGGTTATAAGGAATAGCTGGAGCCCCACAGGCTGGTTTGGTTTTTGTTTTTTTTTTAACCTAGCCTTAATCACTGAATGAGTGTTGCCTCAGTCAAACTGAGGACTGGCTCAAGACCTTAGCTTTAAAAGGCCAAAGTCTCCCACTGCATCCTGGGCCATTTCCAGGCATCCTGATCCGTATCCGGCCACTGAGAAAGTGAGGCTGGTGACTCTGCACGGCTCTGCCTCTCTTAAATCCAGTTCACTTGCACGTCACGGCCTCACCTCCCTGATGTCATGGTCCTCTTAGAGAATGAAGGACAAGCATCTGAAGTTCATCCGCAGCCCGGCCCTCCTCCCACGGCCTCACTGTGCCCATGACTTCCCCAGTGGCACGGCATCTTGCAACTCAGGAGAGCTCAGTATCATATCTTACTGTGGTGAGAGGCAGCCGGGGGTAGGGCACCGGGCCAGGAAGACCCAGGCTCAAACCCCACCTCAGATACATACTATCACATAACCCCTCTGAGCCTCAGTTTCCTCATCTCTAAAATAGAGACAGTAACACTTGGAAAACCTTCCTGAAGCACTGTTGTGAGGCTCAAATGGGATCCCTTCTATAAAGTACTCTGAGAAAATTAAGGCAAGCTATCAGACATTTGTGTATGTGTGTGTGTGTGTGTGTGTGTGTGCGTGAGTGTGAGTGTAGGTACCTAAATACAGCTATCAGAGATTTGTTACGTACTTTTTCATCAGAGGCAGCACTGGGGGGAGGCCCAGCCCTGAAGCTAAGAACTGACTCCTGGGTCCAGGGCACACCCCCTCATGTGGCCTGTCACAGCCTGGACCAAATCCCCAGGCCTGTAAGATGGCAAAAAGGGGCCAAGCCGCCCAGCAGGAGGGGGCCTCCTCACCCGGGAGCTCCCGGGACCAAAGACATCACGGGCCCTGTCTGTCCTGGGTTTCTGGCCTGCAGCATTCACAAAGACTTAAGTAAAACTGAGGATGAGGAGGAACCTTCAGCAGGCATCCAGGCCAACGTAAACAAGAGATGCGGTGTCATAGATCTCCAAAGTATGTGTGGGGAAATCCCCATCACTGCTGCCCCCCCGGGCACACTGGTAGGTAGCAAGTTGTTCCAAGCCTCGACTGGCCTTTTCGTACCTTTCCCCCGCCCCGGTTGTGCCCTCTGGGCCAAGCAGAAAAGGCTGGCCCCTCCTCTGAGGATGGGCCTTCAAACGCCCAAGGCCTGCAGTCCTCTTCCACTCCCCCAGCCCCAGCCTTCTCTTTCCCAGGCTCCAGCCTCTCCATGAGCTAGGGATGCCAGGCCTTCAGCCCAGCACCAGAGGCTCTGGGGGTCACAGGACTTCCCAGAAACGCCTCAAGATCGGGCAAGGCCCAGACACCGCTGGGCCCGGGAGGACCTGGGGAGCCCCAGGCCCCATCGAAATCCACACCCACACCCCCTCAAACATCCTGGGGCAGGGAAGGCTGTGGGGAGAAGGTCAAGGTCTCCCAATAACTCAGTGGCCTTCTCCAGGCCCCCTCATCCTGCTCTGCTGGATCCCTGACATTCCCAAGGTCGGGGGGGAGGGCGCAATGCGATGACAGACGTCAGGCACTCTTCGAACCCTGAAGACCATATAAAGGCCAGTTACTATTACTGCTGCTGCTGCTGCTATTATTACAGTCACCTTTGCTCTGGGACTCAGGGTCAAGAAGACCCGAGTTCAGACCGCTTCAGACGGCTGTGTGACCCTGGGCACGTCATTTCACCGCTGCCTGCCTCAGTTTCCCCATCTGTAAGCTGGAGATAATCCCACGGTGAGCAAACCTAGAAAGGTCCACGCAGACGTCGGCGACTCGTTTTACCTCGGGTGACTCCATGACCAGACGGTCAATCTCCTCGGGGTCATCCTGCAGCTTCTCCAGTTCCTCCACCGTCCGCTCCCTCAAGTCTTCCATCTTCCTCGGGAAACAACTGCAAAAGAAGAAGAGAAAGGGCTGAGGGGTCAGCTGAGGGTGAGCATCCCGTGATGAGCGCACCCACAGATGGGACGACAGGAGGGCTCCCCGTGAGCCCCCTCAGTCCCTCCATCAGGCGCTTCTCGTGGCCCTGCCAGGAAGCTCTAACAGGGTCCGAGTCGATGGACGGGCCTGGAGGCTCTGCCAGGCACGCACGGGAGGTGAATTTTACAGACAGGGAAACTGAGGTGCACAGTAATTTGCCCAGGATCACACTAGCAATACAGAGCACAGCCACCATCCAAACTCAGAGCTTCTTCCATTACACAATGCGTCTCACCCGGCCAACAGAAAAACAAAGTCTCCCATCTCCCGAATACCCAGGCGACAGGGATCTCTGTGGAAGAAAAGGGAAAAGGCAGCAGGTGGGGGCACAAGTAGGAGGAGCAGAAATGTCTCCCACAGGTCCCAGATTTCTGCAGCGCCCTCACAGCCTGGGACCTTGGCCGGGCAGATTCTATTTCCGTCCTGGCCAGAAATACTCTGCACATCCCCCCAGAGGCATTTCCCGGCCTCAGCCCTGGAGCCTCGGGCAAGCTGTCTTGTTGTATTTAGCCACAAATACCTCAGGTTTCCCCCAGGTATTCTTCCCAACAGGGGGCCTCGCTGACGGCCACAGAAACAAGTCTGTTATCAAATCTGAAACTGAGCTTTGCTGTTACATGAGAGAACTGGGCCCAGATAGGACCCTGCAGCAATGAAGCGAGGTCCCTCTGCCCCAGAGATGGTGCGCACTGTGGAAGGATGGCCCTCCTGGGCTGCATTCATTCTTAGGTCACCTTGCTTTGACGAATATCAAATCTCAGTGCGACCCAGCCCGTGCAAAGTCACTAAGGATGAACAGGGAGGCCAAGAAAGAGGAAGGAAGGGCCACCACCCTCTGAAAGCCAAGCCTGAGGTCCCGTGACCTAATGGCCCTGGCTGGCAGGATCAGGAGCAGAGGTCAGCCTCGTGAGACACTCAGGAAGGCAGGGGACATAAAGATGAAGGCAGCCTGACAGAAACAACCGCCCCAGGAAACACGGCAACCTCGGAGGCAGAGCGACAAAGCCCCACCAACTGTCTGGGGACCCGGCGGGTCGCCCAGGAAACAAAGGCCACGGAAAACAACGAGCCAGCTTACTAATAATTCATCCCTCAGCATCTGGTGCCTTATGAGCTGACGGGGCAAAAGCCCCACTGCAGAGGGGCTGGCACCCAGCTCCCCAGCTGTGCCCTGCCCGAGGGGCTCCGGACACCACCAGGAATGGGCTAATACTGGCCACGACCTCACAAATTTACCAGAAAGCACAGCCAATGGGAAAATGAACCCCTACTGTTGGGTACAGAGAAGGAGGTGCTTGATAAGTCCAGAAGGAAACGAGGGGTTCTAAGGGGTAGAAGGGAGGAAGGGGGCATGCAGGCATGGGGGATGGAGTGCTGCGCTGCACAGGAGTGGCAGCCCAGAGGCTTGCTAAAGGGGAGCAGGGGGTCGTAAGGCTGCAAAGGAGAGGCAGCTTAGGGCCAAGTGCGGGCGGGACTGCGATGCTGAACAGGGAGCCAGGACTTCCACCATCCCGGCAGCGAAACGTTTGGAGCCGCCATCATGGAAGATGATGAGAGGATGCAATGGACACGGGGCAGGGCAGATAGCGAGCCGGCAGCGGGGGAAGCAGGAAAGAAAGCCTGGCTTGGGAACCCCAGCCCTCAGCCCTCAGCTGCTCCTTCTGCTTCCCACAAACAACGAACGACCTTCTTCGTCGGCGGATGAATCCTTTGGAGGTTCGGGATGACTGTCCTTTTCTCCCTGGAACTAAGTGCCATGGGAAATCTGCTCAGCTGTTTGAACAATCCCATTTTCTATGCACAAATCAAGAATTCACCCACTAGCCAAAGTATGAAGGAAACTGCATTCCTAACCATATCATACTTCCTAAAATACCAATCTGACCCCATGACTCCCCCACTCAACTTCCTATTAGCACAAACCATCACCTCTTGGGTTTGGCTCCCGCCTACCTTTCCAGCCTCACTGAACCTGACCCTGTAATGAAACAAATTGACCTTCCCTCTGTCCCTCACTCTCCCATCTCCACGCCTTTGCACAGACCGTCCCCATGCCTGGCACACGCTCCCTTCCTTCCTCTCTTGTCCTTTAAGATGCCATCACCACACAAAGCCTTCCTGATCTCCCCAACGGCCAGTGCCCTCCCTCCCCAGCTAGCCCGCACTTAGCACTTGGCATAGATTGGTCTTTATTCTCTTTCTATTTTTGACCGTAGAAGTACACGGTTCTTGTTGTCTCCTCTATCAGAACGGAGGCTCCCTGGGAACAGAGATTCTTTTATTCTTTGTACTTGTACGCCCAGCATCTGGCACATAGTAGGGGCTTAATATTTGCTGCAAATATTCTTTGTTATACACAATAGCTGGGGGGAGGGGCACAAGGGAAAAGTAAGGTGATGTAAAAAGAGATCATTTTTAAAAAGAACCATTGCTGCCACTGCTCTCCAGTGACTGAGCAGCTTCCCCTTCTATCTCCCCAGGATAGAGAAGGAAGTAAAGAGGGTCGGGTCTGAAGGCGCACACGTGACTGGCTGGAAGTCCCGGGAGGAAGCGACCAGAAGAGGGCCAAAGGGCAGAAATCTCTCAGGACAGAGAGGGGGCAAGGGGCAGGAAGGCAGGCGGATGATCTGAGTGCCCCTCAAGGCCTGACACTCTGTGTCAGGAGGGAGGCCAGAACCCAGAGCCATAGGTCCTTGCAAGCTGAGAGGATGACAGAGGGCAAGCCGCCTGCAAGTGTCTGCAGGGCTGCTGTGGGAACAGGAAAGATGCCTGCTTCGTTGGGCCCCAGGCAGCCACGCTAGGGTGGTGGGAGGTAAAGAGGCAAACTCCACCTTGATGGGAGGAAAAACTCTGTGACGAGTCAAGCAACCAAAAAGTAGCAGAGGCTACGTCCCTGTGACGGACCCTGTTGTGACAGTGACAGTGGTGGTGGCAGTGATGGCGGCAGTAACGTTAGCGGTGACGGCGGCAGTAACAGTGGTGGCGGGCTCCTCTTTGTAGAAGGTTTTCTGGTGAAGCTAGAAGACGACTCATCAGGTACAGAAGGGAAGGGGATTCCTGTTCTAACGTCCCACACTGGGCTTCGACACTTTAAATGGCTCCTCCCGGCTCGAATATTCCATGATGAGAATGAGGATGAGGATGACTGACATTTTACAGCATGCTAAGCTTTTCAAAGCACTGGCCATACGTCATCTCATTTGATGCTTATAATTACGCAATCACAGGTTTATCACGCCCGTAACATTCCCCTATTCTCCACAGAGTGGACTGTTTCTCCTTGGGGCTCAGGGCAGTTAGATGACCTGCCTGTGGTCACATGGCCAGGACCTACATGCGGGGCTCTCCTGCCTTCTATGTTCTTGGATACCTGAAATCTTCCTAACAACGAACCATCCAAGAGTGGAAGGCTGAGCTCCCCCATGCTAGCGAGCTTTAAACAAAAGCCAGATGGCCACTCATCAGGGAGACCCCAGAGAGGATTGCTACGGGTCCCACAAGGTGGGCTCTGGGATCCTTTCCAACCCTGAGAGCGAGCCATGGCCTTCAGTAACCTGCTAGGAATCTGTAATCCACAATATGAGCTAAGCCCTTCTTCTGCGCCACCGACTGAAAAGAAACAGGGGATGGAGGCACTCTTGGTTCTTATTTCGATAACTAGGGAAGAAAATTGGCGGCAGCAGCAAATCCAGAAGGAAAATATTTTCATTATCAGAATGAAATGCCTTTTTTTCTTTCTTAATCTGACAAAACAAGGCTGCCTCACTTCTCACCCGTGGACGCCTTCACTGAAACCCACTTCATTTCAGGCTCCAAAAATGACCCTTCTGTGTTGAAACAATCTGAGGATGTCAGGGACTCAAAAGATCTTCATTTTTTTCTATGGGTCAAGCCTCAGCAAAGTGCCTTCAAACACCACACACCAACTAGGTATAAGACAAGTTGTTTAAGCTCTCTGCAGCCTCAGTTTCTTCATCTGTAGAATAGGGATAACAATACCTAAGGTGGTTGTGAGGATCGAGTGAAATAATATGTGCATAGCACTTTGTAAGCCTTAAAGTGCTTTACAGGTGTTAGCTATCATTATTATTATTATCATTCTGAAGACCGTCCTGGAGAAAAGATGTGCTGTGCAATGAGGTGAACCGAGAAAGCCAGCAGCTGGCCCTGACAATGTTGACTGGAGCTCTCCAGGCCGAGCCCTTTGTCCGGCTATCCCTCACTTGTTATGGAAACATATCCCAACAGGTGCAGAAGCAGTGGCCTGAGAAGGGAGGGCCTGGCCGGGGATCAGTACTGGGCCAGCCAACTCTCTCCTTCTGGCTGTGTCCTTGCCCCTCCAGCTCCCGCAGATTCAAACCCTGGCCATAGCCCAAGTGCTCAAGGAGGCTCAGGCAAGGACGCTCCCAGTACTCTGCTTTTTGCACCCACTGCCTCGGGCCAAACACTTCCCTTGGCTGACTCTCCATTTTCACAGGCTACAAAACAAGGATCACATTCCCTTACCTGACCCTACTGTTCCTTCATCCAACAGGGGAACAGAGGCAAAAGGAGACAGGGAGAGACAGAGAGACAGAGACAGAAAGAGAGACAGACAAAAACAGCGAGAGACAGGGAGAGACAGACAGGATGAGAGACAAGAGACGGAGAAGCACAGAGATAGGGAAAGACACAGAGACAAAGAGACAAGGAGAGAAAGAGAGACAGAAACAGAGAGAGACAGAGACACAAAGAGACATAGCAGAGAGAGAAAGGTGAAGAGAGGGAAAGAGAAAGAGAAGGGGTGAGAAAGAAGGGAGGAAGGAAGAGAGGAGAGGGACAGACAGGGACAGGGATAGAGCTAGAAACACAGAGGGAGGAGGGACAGAGAGGAGAAAGAAAGAGAGGGAGGGAGAAAGAGAGAGAGAAGGG